AAGCCATTTCTCCTGAGCCTGCATTGACGGATCCTGCTTCAGTCTGCCTGAAACCCCTGCCCTCTCTCTTCCCCAGCAGCAGGCCCCTGCTCCTCCATGCCCTTTCTCACCCCAAAAAAACTGAGCCAGCAGCCTGGCAGGCAGCTGCATTCAGCTGAGCACAAAGCAGGAATCCAGAAGTCCGAGTCTCCTGTCAGAGGGATGGTAGCAAGGTTCAGACAGTAAAGAGTCCGCCTGCAGTGTGGGAGACCTGGGTTGGGAAGATCCCCTGGAGGAGGGCATGGCAACCCACTCCAGTATTCTTGCCTGGAGAATCCCATGGACAGAGGGGCCTCGAGGGCTACAGCCACTGGGGTCACAAAGAATCAGACATGACTGAGCAACTAAGCACAGCACAGCAGGGCCAAGGGCTCTGGGATATGAGATAGGAAGCCTGGATTCTAGCCCTGGCTTTGCCAGGCACAGGATGTGTGGCCTTGACCAGTCACCTGACCTCGCTAAGCAAAGTAAGCAGAGTCCCCATCTGGGAAATGATGGGGAGTGGTGGGTTAGATCCATAGTTTTCTGTCCCTTAAAGGCCAGAACTGTGCTTTCTGTTAGGTGCCTTAGAGGGTTAGCAAGCAGCAGCAGAGGAGGCAAGGCCCCCAGCCCCCGTGAAAATCAAATCACCGTGACATTGAGCATTTTCACCTATTAAGGTTCTGGGCTAGAATGCACCTGAGTGAAAGGGTTTTCTGCAGGAAAAAAGTTTGAAATCTACTGAGTAAAAACCCATAGGCCCATTTTAGCTTTTATAAGATGCTCTGTTTCATGGCCAATGTGCTGACATCCTGTGCCACAGCTTGGCCCAAGACCCAGAAATGCCTCAACATCCACACCTATAAACCCACAGGGCTCCAGGGCACCCTCACAGACGATCATCCTGTCCCTCTGCCACAATTCTTCACCAGGCCTAAAGGCTGCGGATCTGTCCTCCAGCCACTCCCACTTTTTCCAAACAGCTCAAGAGGAAATTGTCTCCCATCCCCTCCTGCTGCCCCCTACAGCCTCCTTCACATCCTAGAAGGGTGGCCCAGCCCCAGGATTCTCCCAGGTACCAATAATCCTGCGTATTAGGGATTAGGCCGATTACCTCGAGCAGCTCAGGCAAATAAAGCATAATGTGGGCACCACCAGCTGGGATTTTCACAGGGTTTTGCAATGAGAAAGGAGGGAGGAGGTGGGCACCTGACATTGGGCAGGTGGGGGTGGAGACGAGGCAGGATTGGTTTCTGCCCTTGGGAAGTTCTAACCATCCAACCTGCCCCTGGTAGGAGGGAGCTCCCCTGCACCTTGTAGCCTCATCAGCCCCCCAGGACCCAGATGTACATGGGGCACCATATTTGTGCCAGATGGTAAAGAATCTGCCTGCAATGCAGGAGACCCAGATTTGACCCCTGGATCGGGAAGGTCCCCTGGAGAAGGGAATGACAACCCACTCCAGTATTCTTGCCTGGGAAATCCCATGAGGAATCTGGCTACAGTTCATGGGGTCACAGAGAGACGGACATGACTCAGAGAAGAACACTTTCATCTTCAACCCATCCAGCAGCTATTGCATCTGTTAACTACAGGTTACATGTCCAGGGAAGGAGCAGCACATCCACAGAAACAGGCTGCAGGAGCTTAAAAAGAAGTTCGGACAAGACCATTTGCTCTGGATGTCAGAAAACCATCGCATTGCCTGGGTCTCTCTGCTGGTTGTAAGATAACTCATCATCACGGGAATTTTTAGCTCTGGCTTCCCAGGTACCCCGTCCAGATTCACACTCCTAGGAGCCCGCCTGCATGGTGTGTGAAGACATAGGTCGTCACAGAAGGAAAAGGGTGAGAGCAAAAAAGGCCAGGTGCTCATTAACAAGTCGCTTACCATTTTTGTGCCTCAGGTTTCCTTGCTTCCAATTCAAAGGGGCCATGGAAACACCTCCCAAGGTTCTGCTAGCTCTGAAACCGCCTGACCTTGACCTCTGGACCGTGAGTCCTGCACTTCCCCATGTCCCAGCAGTGTGAGATGCTGGGGAAGGACTGGGGGTCCTTACTGGCTCTTGTCACGTTCAACACTGCTCACCTGTCGCCTGGGGACTGAGAGGGTCAACTGGCTGTTAGGAAATCCTTGACTCCTTCTTGCCTCTATCTTATTTAATCCTCACAACAAACCTGCAAGGTAGGAATGTTACGAGGCTCGCAGAGGGAGGGTAATTTTCCTCTTTTAAGTGGCAGAGGTGAAATTTAAATCCAGTCTATTCTAAGACCAAAGGCCATGTTTTTTTCCTTTTCCTTGCTGCCTCGGGATAGGCAAAATGTACCAAGAAGAGATGGAATCTCCTTATAAAATGCTCCTTATTACTAGCATTGAAACAACTGTCTTACACCCTACGGCTTCTAAATAACAGAATTGTGTAGTACAGACATCTGGTTATAATCAGCCATGTATGGATAGGGTGTGGGAAAAATGGTCTACGGGAGAGGGTGCCAGTTAGGGAATAGAGTGACCCATTAGACACTATATCCCATGGTGATATGTGCCACACTTGTTGCTTAAAATTAATAAGTCAACCCTGAACTTTCAAGACTGATGCATCCATCTCAGCCTATACACCATGTTTGCAAAATAACGATCTCCTTCTCAATCAATCAGTTTAACAAAATGGGAACAGAGAAGTGACAGTCCAGAGTTCACTATCTGGACCTCAGAGACTTGGAATTGGATTAGCAGAGACCTCAGCTCTGACCTCTCAGCCAGAGTGGCCAGGCCAGGTCCACAACAGCCTGCTCACATGCCAAGACATGGTGGTTGAGCTACCAGTCTGAGGGCAGCCTGCCCTGTCCCGGGAGAGTGACTCAAGAACCACAGGCACAAGAAAACCATCACAGGGGCTCAAGTCAGAAGACAAAAATCACACTTGTTTTCCAGTTGAGGAATCACTTGTAACCATAGAAGGCAGGTCTGAGGCAGGACCAGATATTCAGAAAGACTGACAATAGATATAATTTTCTGAATGCCGTGTATTCGCTTGATGAGTCCTGTTAACAAGATTGTAAGTTAGGCACTATTATGCCCATTTTAAAGATAAGCAACTGAGGCACTAAGGCTGTCTGCAGGTCTATGATTAGTACAGTCTTATACATCCCACTTAGGCCTATATGCTCAATACAAACCCCTTTTCCCTGTAGGAAGGATCTGGCACTGTATGGGAAGGCAACCCAGAGGGACTTCTTGTTTCATGGAGAGCACTCAAACCCCTTCAAAAGATTTGTTTCTTTTTTCAGTGAAATGCGTCTCAGAGTCATAGATCTGTAGACATCAGGGCTGTAAGGGACCTGAGAACGTGTGTGGACTGGTTCCCTCCCTTTAGGAAGAAGCCTAGGGTCATAGAAGGGTAGAAGCTTCTTCAAGGAAGCACAGCTTATTCACTTAAAAGACTGAGTAGACCGCCCCATGGCTAAGACACAGCACAAAAAGGGTGGCAGGCACAGGGGATCCTTGTCCCCGGAGTCCACTTCCTGACTTCCCCTCGTACCAGCTATACAACCCAGTACAAGTTGCTCCACTCTATCCGGCATCAGTGTCCTTAACCGAACAACAGGCGTACAAACACCTTCATCAGAGAATATCTACGAGGATCAACTGTGATGATGAATGCAAAGTAGGTGGTGAGAGGGCAGTAAACAGTTTTATTGACTAAGTGCCAGAGCATGCGCTTGTGTGACCTTGGACAATGACCTGCCCAAGGTTCCACAGCTAATAGAGGGCTCATCAGGATGGGAATCCAGAGTTTTCTCGACAGTAAACCCCACCTCTGCCCTCTTCACCAAAGTAAAGGCCCGCTTTGTTTCTAGTCAAAACAGACTGGATACGGATAACTAAGACCCAGAGGAAATCCAAAACCTTCATTTTCAGAAAAGAAGGCAGAAATCTCTATATCATAACCCGGTTAACTTTTATGACTCATGTGAGTAGAAAAAGGACAAATGGAATAAAAACAAGAATGTGAACTTGATTGGGAAACAAGTGAATCCCATCCAAAGGTATGGAGTTTTGACATCTGAAGGACCAGTTCATCTGGTTAGGGAGGTCATGGGCTCCTCCTCTCTTCCACCTCTCCCAGCTCCGAAAAAGCAGCCCGGGGCAGTTTGGAGTGTCCCCACTTTGAGAAAGGAGTTGCTGAGAGTGAGACAGTAGAAGGGTCAAGAGGGGAAAATTAGAAGAAGGGAGGGAGCCGGTGGCAGATTGAGCATCAGGAAGAGGATCTGGCTCCCCACAGCAAAGCATCCTGCAAGGCTGGCTCTCAGGCACTCTGGTCCCGTGGTCCCCACCCACTGGGCCACAGAGCAGTGCTGCTATAATGGAGTTTGGAAGTGGAAAGCAGGAGCACAGTGTAATGTGTGTGTGTGCGGCAGTGAAAAACATCCAACCCTCCTCCCCAGGGAAGAAATATCCTTTTCTTTGACATTATGTCATCACTCCTTGGTTGGGTATTAACATGCCCTTTGAATGAAATGACAATGATGCTAGAGCTGGCATTTGACAGGTTCTTTCTTGCTTGTCAAAATAAAAAGCTGGCAACCCTCTGAAATGCTCTATGATTTTTAAAGTTTATTGAGTATCCAATGGAAACTCTACGGACCACTCCCCTCGTCTTCAGGCTACAGATGGGAAACTCAGGCCCAGAGAGGTCATAGTGACCAGGAACCCAGGGCATGTCTGTCACACCATACAGGGACAGCCTTGGGGCCAGGAAAAATAGGACCCAAGGGATGGAGTTGAGGTCCCTCGGGACTCTTAACAGCTTAGCTGGAGCAGGTCCAGAGAGCAGAGGGAAGGGAATGCATCAGTATTCAGGGCTCAGGGCCATACCATGGAGTCCTGAGTTCCCAGCCTCACTCCGAGTTCTGAAGCCCTCACTGCTTCTATAGCAGCAAATGCACAGAACCTCAACAATCTCCCTGGAAACAGGGACACTGTTTCCAGGCCCCAAACCATCATTCAAAAGGCATCTGGAAAGAAAGTATTTACCATCAGAGAGCAAGTGGGATGAATTGCTGATGGTTGGTTGAACAATGCCCTCCAAGTCAACAGACAAAAGCAACGTGGAGTAAAAAAGGTGAATGACTGGTGAATGAAAGTCCCTGGGAATGCCAAAGGAAGCGGATTCCTTTCATCCCCTTAGCTTGCAGCACTCTTCCTCAACCATTACCACTGCCCAAACTTATACCCAGGGGCACTTATTCCCCTTCAGTTTCCAGGAGAGGATAAGCTCCCACCCATCTCCACTAGAGGGTAAGCTCCAGGGGGGGACTGTCTTGGCCAAATCTGCTCCTTCCATATCCCCAAGACCCAGTCTTCGGGCCTGCCAGCTGCCCTCCCACTCCTAACCAAGCCTGCTCCCCCACCAGGTTTCTCTGGGAGGACTCAGCCCTCGTGACCTCTACAGCTATTCCCACCCAGGAATGCCCTCTGCATTTCTCTCCGCCCATCTTCATTCTGCTTCATCAAGCCCCAGGAGCCCAGTGATGCCATCTCCCGATGACAGATAGCCCTCCATGTCCTAACCCCAGGGCCCACGATCCACTCCTCTCTCTCAGCACCACATGGGCCCTGGCTGGCAGCCTTAGCTGTCTTCTCATCCATGCATGTAAGAATGCCCCAATTAGCCTGAAAGATCCTTGAAGCCAAGGTCCATTTTTTAAGATATCCATAGTGTGTGGCATACAGCAAGTGATGAGCAGGTATGTACACTGAATGAGTAAACACAGCTCAAGAGGCGTTGGAAAAGCAAGCCCTTCCCCGGGCACCACCAACATCCTGGCCCAACCAGGCCAGTTTCCATGACTTGAAGCTTGAACAGGACTGCTGGCTCCCACACTGCTGCTCCTCCGAGCAGCTACATTTTCAAATACAAACACCAAATCCCAAAGAAGAATAGATGTCATGGGGCTTCTGAGAGGCACATGCCTCACTAGGCACGTCAGTCAAAAAAAGATGAATGTTCTTGTTTACAAAAGGATCTGCCCCGTTCCAGGAAAATTTCCACCACAATTTAGGACCTAACCCAATACATGCCTATAGACCTCACCGACTGAATATTTTTCCACCTCTTCCATTTGCTGAACTTGGATGGGGTTTGGCTTCAGGTCAAAAGAGCTGTTGCAATAAAGGCCACTCCCCCTGCCCCAGAGCCTTTCCCAATGGGAAACATGACCCCCATTCAGGAAACCAAGGCCCAGCAAGTCAGAGAGACCTCGGGAGGCAGAGGGATGGCCAGGTGATGAGGCATACAGATACACTCAGGACCCAGCGATGTTAACAGTGTGAGGACCCAGGCGCAGATCGCTGGGGGTCTACAGAGAGGCCTGTCTCCCTGTGCTCTGAGCTTGCACCCGCCTCGGTAGCCTGGCTGGGCTCTAAAACTCCAGCCTCCTATGCTTCTGGGTTCCCACAGCCCTAGCCTGGATCTGGATTTCCAAAACAGCAGCCAAATGCAAGAGTCTGGCCTGGCTGTTAATGTGAAATAATAACAATAATTCAACAGCTGGGGGAGAGGGGAGGGTTCTTCTATTTCTACTGTGTTCTGACAACTGCTTCTCCTTCTCTTTCTACTGCAAGTTGGGAATGGCCAGCACCCCAGCCCATGAAAAGCCTCCACTCTCCACTTGGCACCCCTGGACCCATCAATCTCCTCCCTGTGGCCTGGGACCCCTCCAACCCTGGATGTCGGGGAGAGGCTCAGCAGCTGTGAGAACCTTCTTTCTCGAAGAAGGTTTTTCCAAAATTATATCAGGTTTCCTTCTATCCCGGCTTGTCAGCGGGGGACTCTTTTGCCTAACATGGTTGAAGAATGTCTTAGAAACTAGTGTGATTCAGTCTGGCTTCAGATGAGGTTTTCCACCCAGACAGAGCACACGAGTGTCTGGACGGGGCGGCTCGCTACCCCCGGGGCACCCACACCCTTTCCCTGTCTCCAGACCTCGGTCAGGAGGGCACACTTGACAAAGTAGCAGGTCCAGCCCAAAGATGAAGTCAGAAATAGAGTCAACAGGAAGCCAGAGAAAAGTGTATGCAACCCACGTACTTTGCAAACACAGGGGCCTCCCTCCCCACAGAAGCCCTACCCACCCCCCAATTTTCTGAATTTGCAAATCTAATTGCAGTGCACCCATTATAAATATTGAAGAGCTACTGGGGTGAGTGATTCAAGAATTGAAATCTCAAAAGACACACACACCATTCTCCTAGAACACAGGGCAAAGCCTTTCAGCTTTCTCTTCCGATGGAGATTGCTTTTCACTTTATGCCTGTTCAGATGGGCCTCCTTCCACAAACACAAACTCTAATCAGAGATGGGCCCAAGACAATTGTTAAAAAAAATCAGCTTGCAAAGATGTCTGAAACCTGCACGTCAAGTTCACTAATGAATGATTACTGAACTCTTACTCTTAGTTCTGCCACATTCTCGCCTACGGACCCACAGTCTCCCCTGGACCAAAAGCAGCATTCTCTCCGCCCCTTAGCGCTCCATCTACAATACTGAGGTGCGGCTGGATCAGGAGGATGCTGGGAGGAAGGTAACACGGGAGAAGAATCTTCTTTTAAATCTCAGGAGTTTCTTGTTAGAAGGATATAGAAGCTGCAACGAGACAAGAGCCCTGCAGGATGGGAGCCCCTGTCTGAGTGTTGTGGCCATAACCTGAGCCACCATCCTGTGAGCCCCATGTTTCCATAACAACTGTCAGTCTGGCCCCTGGAACTCACGGAGACCAGACCTCCTTTGTGTGGGCTGCTCTGAAGAAAGGTCAGATTGTTGCCTGAATACCAAGGTTCTGTTTTTCTTCTCCTTCTGCAGCTGCTTTTCTGACTGGAAGCTGGACAGAGTTGTTACGAGCATTCCTCGGCACTGATGCATCAGAGGTGAGAAGCCAGGTAAGGAGAAGGGACGTGCGGAGAAGCTCCCGGGGACCCCGGCACCATTCTATTCCTTGACCTGGTTGGTTACATGGATTTTCTCATGATCATTCACTTTTTTGTTGTACTTTCGTGCTTTATACACTTTTCTGTATTTCGTTTTATTTCACCATTTTGAAAAGACATCTAAAAATAAATCCGCCAAACTGTTTTTAAGGGGCCTATCATCATCACCCACCTTTATTAAGTATGTTATGGTACATGACAGAAGACTCAGACTGCAAGTAACCCTGTGTCACAGCCCTGAAAACAGGACCCAGGACCAAGAAAAACCTCATTAAAAGCCCTTGCCAGTTGCATCATTTGAGAAAATATTTGCAAATGATGTGACCAATAATCAATTAATTTCCAAAACATATAAATAGCTCATACATCTCCATATAAAAAAAAAAACACAAAAAAAACAAGTCAATCCAAAAAATGAGCAGAAGCCTAAATAGATATTTCTCCAAAGAAGACATTCAGATGGCTAACAGGTACATGAAGAGATGCTCAACATCACTAATTATTAGAAAAATGATAAAAAACTACAATGAGGTATCACTCCACACTGGTCAGAATGGCTATTATCAAAAAGTCTAAAACAATAAATGTTGGAGAGGGTATAGAGAAAAGGGAACCCTCCTACTGTTGGTGGAAATATAAATCAGCGCAGCCACTATAAATAACTGTATAGAGGTTTCTTGAAGAAAAAAAAGTTACAGTTGCCATATGATCCGGCAATTTCACTCCTGGGCATATATCCAGAAAAGATGAAAACTCTAACTCAAAAAGATACATGCGCCTCAATGTACACAGCAGTACTATTTACAACAGCCAAGACATGGAAGCAACCTAAATGTCCATTGGCAGATGAATGGATAATGAACATGGAACATTAATCAGCCATAAAAATGAATGAAATAACTTCATCTGCAGCAACATGACTAGAACTAGAGATTATCATACTAACTGAAGCCAGGCAGAGAAAGACAAATATGATATCACTCATATGTGGATTCTAAAAAAATATATACAAATGAACATACAAAACAGAAAAAGACTCACAGACATAGAAGACAAATTTATGGTTATCAAAGGGGAAAGAGGAGAATAAATTAGGAGTTTGGGAATAATATATATACACATTACTACACATAAAACAAATAAAAATGATCTACTGTACAGCACAGGGAACTATGTTCAATATCTTATAATAAACCATAATGGAAAAGAATCTGAAAAAGAATAGATATACATTTGTGTATGTCTATATAACTAAATCACTTTGCTAAACATCTGAAACTAATCCATGCATGCTCAGTCGTGTCCAACTCTTTGCCACCCCACAGGCTGCAGCTGACCAGGCTCCTCTGTCCATGGCATTTTCCAGGCAAGAATACTAGAGTGGGTTGCCATTTCCTTCTCCAGGGGATCTTTCTGACCCAGGGATCAAACCTGCACCTCTTGCATCTCCTGCATTGGCAGGCAGATTCTTTACCACTGAGCCACCTGGGAAGCCCCTGAAACAAATATAGCATCGTAAACCAATCACACTTCAATAAAAAGCTATTTGTTTTGGAAAAAAAAAAACACCTCACAGTTTTGAGGGGCAGGCATCACCCAGAAGAAGAATGTCAAAGCAGAGGTCAGAAACAGACACAGCCATGGGATGAACGGGCTGGGAACCCCAGAGGACTTGATAACACAACAGTCTCCTGTTGGATAAAGGGGCTGAGCCTATAAACAAGGTGATGGGGAGCGGGTGTGTTTTATTGTTTATACTTGCCTCAGGAGGTCATGAAATGAGGTAGGCAGGGCCCCTGGCCATCGGAGAAAGAGCGACTTCTCTTGCCCTGCGGATTTACTCCTAAGAGTTGCTCATGGTCTCAGCACAGCCTTGATTAAGGTGGCAAGAACATTAAATCAATCAGAAGACTAGGTCAAGTCCCATGCCAGATCAGGAGCCTCAGGACCACCTCTTCACCTTCTATAAGCTTCCACTCATCATTCATTCCAGCCACACTGCTTCCTGAGCACTTTGTTGTATAAATACTTCACACTGTCACAAGTCCATTGTTTTGCTCCTGTTGGACTAATTACATGTCTGCTCCTTTCCAAATGCAGGACATAATTCAAAACTGTTTAAAGGCACCTCCATCATGAAGCCTCTCCAGATCTCTTAATAAGAATTAACACCTCTCAGTGATATTCACTCAACCCTTACTCTCTGTCCCCTCACAGTATTATTTGTTCCTCTGATTATCAGCCCTCGATATGTTCAAGCATCCACCATCCCTTCCAATTAAGAATCCTGAGGTCAGAAACCTGACATATTAATTTTCATATCTATAGAATATACATAGGGGCACATACCTGGTGGCTCAGAAAGTAAATAATCTGCCTACACTGTGGCTATTTGTTCCTCTGATTATCAGCCCTCGATATGTTCAAGCATCCACCATCCCTTCCAATTAAGAATCCTGAGGTCAGAAACCTGACATATTAATTTTCATATCTATAGAATATACATAGGGGCACATACCTGGTGACTCAGAAAGTAAATAATCTGCCTACACTGTGGCTGACCCAGGTTTGATCCCTGGGTCAGGAAGGTCCCCTGGAGAAGGGAATGGCAACCCATTCCAGCAGTCTTGCCTGAGAAATCCCACAGACAGAGCAGTCTTGCAACAGTCCATGGATTGCAAAGAGTTGGACAGGACTGAGCAACTAACACTTTCACTTTCACAGAATATATGTATATTCTGTGAAATATATATTATACATTCTTTAGAATGTATTCTATAAAATACGTTTACTATAAATTCTTATATCTATACAATATAAATACATATTCTAGACAAATACATACCTACATCTGTAAATATCAATATGTAACAAGAATATGTATATTCTTATTATTATATCTATAAAAACTTATATTCTAAATAAAGATAAATATATCTCTACATCTAGCACTGTGCCTAATGGATATGTAGTATGTGTGCAGCAAGCAGTCAATGCTCGTTACTAAGTCTGGGTCAGACAGGATGCAGGCCCATCGTGTAGAAGGCCATCACACAGCACACAGGTCCAGCACGAAGGCAGTGAGTCTCACAGAAAGCCTCTGCATCTCAAATCACTCATTTCCCTCTACCCACACCTTCTCTCCCCAGACTGACTGCTAGGCTTCATAATTAATAATAAGGTATCTGCTTTTGCTCCAGTGCCCCATCCATCCTCCACACTAAGCCAGAGAGATCTCGCAAAGTTTACATTGCTCCTATCATCCCTGTTCTTAGACTCTTCCATGACTCCCCACTGCTCTCAGGGTCAAGTTCAGCATCCTCAGCATGGCCTTCAGGGATGCTCTTGGATGTCTGGGTTTGGCCTTATATCTGATCACATATGAGACCACTCTCAGCCTCACCTTTCTTATTCTCCAGCCCTACTGGACTTTCTTCCCTTCCTTCCATGAGTGGGTCTCCTTTATGACTCATGGATTTGCAGGTACCATTCCCTGAAACAACCTTCTCCACCCAGTCATATTCCAGTCTTCCCACTCAGACTTAAGCTCTCTCTCCAGAACGCCTTCCCTAATGGCCCTCCACCTCCACTGAGTGAGGAAAGCTCTTTAATCATGTGGAGCGTTCACTCCTCATCCAGAACACTCAAGGCATCCACAAATACTTGCTCACAGCCTCTCTGCTTCCATAGAGCAGGAGTTGGCAAACCGTAAAGGGTCAGTTAGTGAATATTTTAGGCTCTGGATGTATGGGTGCTCGGTCTCGTTTGACTCTCTGCTATCCCATGGACTGTAGCCTGCCAGGCTCCTCTGTCCATGGGATTTCCCAGGCAAGAATACTGGGGTGGGTTGCCATTTCCTTCTCCAGGGGGTCTTCCCAACTCAGGGATTGAACCCATGTCTACTGAATCTTCTGCATTGGCAAGCGCATTCCTTACCACTACCACCACCTGGGAAGCTCTACTTTAGGCTCTGCAGGAGCCTAAAATCTCTTTGGCAACTACTCAATTCTGTCATCACAGAACAAAAGTGGTCAGGGATAAAATGTAAACAAACAAGAGCGGTTGTGTTCCAATCACATTTTATTTATGGACACTGAAATTTTAATTTCATAGAATTTTCACATTTCATAAAATATCCTTTATTAAAAAAAATTTTTTTAACCCCTAAAAAAAAATGAAAAAACCCTTCTGAGCTAGCAGGCCATTAAAAAAAAAACAGATGGCAGGGCAGACTTGGCCCACAGCCTGCAGTGTGCCAGCCCCAGCACAAGTTCTCAGTTCCATGGAGAGAGAAACTATGTCTTCACTGCTCTATTCCCCCAACACAGGGCCTGGTTCTTAGAAGATGATTCATAAAAGTTTGCTGAATGCCTTCATATGTGGACCAGAGCAGTGCTTCCCAGTGCATACTCTACAGAATGCCAGTCCATTGGGGTACTCCATACAGAAGGAGTTCTTTTATCAATGAAATTTGAAAAATGCTACTGTTTCCCTTCCTGGAAATTTTCAATGTTCAGTGCATAAAGCATATCAAAAGCTCAGAGCTAGTCACAGAACTTGTTTGACTTAGACCAAAGAACTATATACTTAAAAAAAAAAAAAAGATTTTTTGATGTAGACATTTTTTTTTTAAATTTATGGCTGTGCTAGGTCCTCATTGCTGCACATGGGCTTTCTCTAGTTGAGGCAAGTGGGGGCCACTCTCCAGTCGTGGTGTGCAGGCTTCTCACTGTGGTGGTTTCTCTCGTTGTAGAGCACAGACTCTAGGCTCATGGGCTTAGAAGTTGCAGCTTGCTGGCTTAGTTGCTCCATGGCACATGCGATCTTCCAGGACCAGGGATCAAACCTGTGTCTCCTGCATGGGCAGCCAGATTCTCAACCACTGAACCACCAGGGACATCCCAATGTAGTCCATTTTAAAAGTCTTTATTGAATGCATTACAATATCACTTCTGTTTTATGTTTTGGTTTTTTGACCCCAAGGCATGTGGGATCTTAGCTTCCCAACCAGGGACCAAATCCACATGCCCTGCACTGCAAGGCAAAGTCTTAACCACTAGACCACTAGGGAAGTTCCAGAACTATTACTATCTATTTACCAAAAACATCTACCAGCATCAACAGGCAACCCCATCTGAAAGCACTACAGTAAGAACAAAAGGCAAGCATGTAGAAAAATAACCCTTGAACTGTAGCATCAGAACCACCCAACAGAGGTGGCTGAGCCCCACCCTAGAGCTTCTGGTTCAGTAAATCTGGGGTGGGGCCTAACAACTGACATTTCTCACAAGTTCTCAGCTGATGTAGATGCTGCTAGTCTGGAGACCCCATCTAGGGAAACACAGATCTGGGAAAAAGGACATTCAGAGCTTAAGTCCTCTACCTGCGGTTTCCTCCTCCTTCCAGGAACCTGATTCCCAGGAGAACCCCAGCTTGTTTACTTCTTCACACTGGCAGAAGAAAGCCTGATCCATCTCTCCAGTGTTCAGGCAACGCATCTATACATAATGGGTTGCACTGCATTCCCCACCAAATATGTTTATGTCCTAAACCCCAGTACCTGTGACCATGACTTTATTTGGAAATAAGGTCTTTGGAGATGTAACCAAGTGAGTCCATAATTCAATATCATGTGCATCCTTATGAAAGGAGGAGAGAGTAAAACAGGGGGGAGCAGGCCCTGAGAAGACAGAGACACAGGAAGAAGGCCACACGAGGACAGAGGCAGAGACGGGTGTGTTGCAGCAGCAAGCGAAGCTAGAGAGAGTAAGGACGGATCCTCCTCTAGAGGTTTCAGGAATCAGACCTGCAAATCCTTGATTCTGAACTTCTGGTTTCCAGAACTATGAAAAAGTTAATTTCTGTTTATTTAAGTCATCCAGTTTATAGCACTTTTTCTTCTAACTAGGGTATTTCTCACTATTACAGATACCACCCCCCCAAAAAAAAATGAAAAAACCCTTCTGAGCTAGCAGGCCATTAAAAAAAAAACAGATGGCAGGGCAGACTTGGCCCACAGCCTGCAGTGTGCCAGCCCCAGCACAAGTTCTCAGTTCCATGGAGAGAGAAACTATGTCTTCACTGCTCTATTCCCCCAACACAGGGCCTGGTTCTTAGAAGATGATTCATAAAAGTTTGCTGAATGCCTTCATATGTGGACCAGAGCAGTGCTTCCCAGTGCATACTCTACAGAATGCCAGTCCATTGGGGTACTCCATACAGAAGGAGTTCTTTTATCAATGAAATTTGAAAAATGCTACTGTTTCCCTTCCTGGAAATTTTCAATGTTCAGTGCATAAAGCATATCAAAAGCTCAGAGCTAGTCACAGAACTTGTTTGACTTAGACCAAAGAACTATATACTTAAAAAAAAAAAAAAGATTTTTTGATGTAGACATTTTTTTTTTAAATTTATGGCTGTGCTAGGTCCTCATTGCTGCACATGGGCTTTCTCTAGTTGAGGCAAGTGGGGGCCACTCTCCAGTCGTGGTGTGCAGGCTTCTCACTGTGGTGGTTTCTCTCGTTGTAGAGCACAGACTCTAGGCTCATGGGCTTAGAAGTTGCAGCTTGCTGGCTTAGTTGCTCCATGGCACATGCGATCTTCCAGGACCAGGGATCAAACCTGTGTCTCTTGCATGGGCAGCCAGATTCTCAACCACTGAACCACCAGGGACATCCCAATGTAGTCCATTTTAAAAGTCTTTATTGAATGCATTACAATATCACTTCTGTTTTATGTTTTGGTTTTTTGACCCCAAGGCATGTGGGATCTTAGCTTCCCAACCAGGGACCAAATCCACATGCCCTGCACTGCAAGGCAAAGTCTTAACCACTAGACCACTAGGGAAGTTCCAGAACTATTACTATCTATTTATCAAAAACATCTACCAGCATCAACAGGCAACCCCATCTGAAAGCACTACAGTAAGAACAAAAGGCAAGCATGTAGAAAAATAACCCTTGAACTGTAGCATCAGAACCACCCAACAGAGGTGGCTGAGCCCCACCCTAGAGCTTCTGGTTCAGTAAGTCTGGGGTGGGGCCTAACAACTGACATTTCTCACAAGTTCTCAGCTGATGTAGATGCTGCTAGTCTGGAGACCCCATCTAGGGAAACACAGATCTGGGAAAAAGGACATTCAGAGCTTAAGTCCTCTACCTGCGGTTTCCTCCTCCTTCCAGGAACCTGATTCCCAGGAGAACCCCAGCTTGTTTACTTCTTCACACTGGCAGAAGAAAGCCTGATCCATCTCTCCAGTGTTCAGGCAAGGCATCTATACATAATGGGTTGCACTGCATTCCCCACCAAATATGTTTATGTCCTAAACCCCAGTACCTGTGACCATGACTTTATTTGGAAATAAGGTCTTTGGAGATGTAACCAAGTGAGTCCATAATTCAATATCATGTGCATCCTTATGAAAGGAGGAGAGAGTAAAACAGGGGGGAGCAGGCCCTGAGAAGACAGAGACACAGGAAGAAGGCCACACGAGGACAGAGGCAGAGACGGGTGTGTTGCAGCAGCAAGCGAAGCTAGAGAGAGTAAGGACGGATCCTCCTCTAGAGGTTTCAGGAATCAGACCTGCAAATCCTTGATTCTGAACTTCTGGTTTCCAGAACTATGAAAAAGTTAATTTCTGTTTATTTAAGTCATCCAGTTTATAGCACTTTTTCTTCTAACTAGGGTATTTCTCACTATTACAGATACCACCCCCCCCCAAAAAAAAAACTCAGGTGAAGCTCCGGCCAAGCCCTAACCTTGGTGAGTGTGCATGTGAACTTCAAGGGAATGATGGGCCTCTGTTCACTGATCCTTTTGTCATCTCTGCATCACTGCTAGCAAGGCAGTAGTTTGAGCTGGGGTCTCTCTTTGGAAATTAGATTATCTAATTAGTATGAAGTTTTGTTGGATTCCTGCCCCAGGACTGGTTTTGAACAAAAGTATGTGATTGTTTTCTAGCCTAAAAAAAAAAAAAAAGAGAGTCAATGAATAAATTAAGGAGACTTGGCTTTGCCCATGCTTGCTCGACTGGTCCTGTTTCTCACTGGAAGACACTCACAAAGGGCTTCTCACTAACAAATAAAGAGTTTTCACTAACAAATAAAGAGTTTCTTCTCCTCCAGATCTGAGCTAGTAATGACTTCTCTAACTGAGGGCTTCCCTGGTGGTTCAGATGGAAAAGCATCTGCCTACAATGTGGGAGACCCAGGTTCGATCCTTGGCTTGGGAAGATCCCCTGGAGAAGGAAATGGCAACCCACTCCAGTACTCTTGCCTGGAAAATCCCAGCGACGGAGGAGACTGGTAGGCTACAGTCCACGGGGTCACAAAGAGTTGGACACGACTGAACAACTTCACTTTCACTTTCAGTAGACACAGAAACATCTAAGCAGCAGATATTTTCACAGTCTGAGCACTTTGGTTTGAGTCACAAATTATACCCCTCTTGTTTCTGAAAAATAAGGGGTGTAATTTTTATTCTGAAAAGAGGCAGACACTGTTGTGTGCCCGATACCTTAGGACAGCACCAAGAGGGAATGTGGAATGTGGACACAGCATGTCACTGTTGATGAAGAGAAAGGGGACACCAGGGGATAGGGACTCTGTATTGTTAAGCTCAGAGACCACAGAATAAAAATGAAAACCAACCAAATGCCTTCCTTGCCTCTCCAGTGCACGCTAACCCAGGGCTGCCTGCTCACAGAGTCAGTGTGAGCTTGGAAACCTTCAGATATTTTACAGGTAGGTCAAAGCCATGTTTTCTACTGCAGCAGGTCAGATTTTCAGGATGCTGTCCCCCACCCCAAGGCCCTTGAAAACATAAGAGAGGGGTCTGATTCTCTGAGATGGGCAGAGTCCTTCCCCTCCCCAAACCTGGGAGTTAAGTGTTCCCTCCCTCAACCCTTCCAAGGCCAGCATCTAACTTCAAATGTCCAGTCAACCCATGAACAGCATGTTAGTCTCTGTCCGGGAAAGTAGACTTCTGAAACATCAACATCTCAGCCTCTGACTTAAGAGTTGAGAATTAATCTAGCCAGAGGAATGGCATGCTGTCACAGAGGACAAACAGTCCCAGCTTTGCAGATCTGCCTCATCTTTTGTTTGCTTTGTTTTATAATCTAAACTTGCCGCACAAACTGCAGCAGGTTATTTAACCCTTGGAAAACTCAAGTCCCTGAGCTGTAAGATCAAAATGATAAGAAATGCTTGGCAATGGGGTTGTAATCCTTCTCATCCTCACAACTAGTACTAATATCGCCCATTCTGCAGATGAGGACCAGGGACACAGAGAAGTCAATTCACTTGCCCATGGTCACACAGCCAGTAAGCAGCCAAGCGGAGCTCAGACAGGCTGTCAGTGGGCATGTGCTCTCATTACAGAGATCTTCTGTATCTCCATAAGAGGTTAGAAATGAAGGCCGATATTCATTTATTCATTCAACAATTTACCTTAGCAACACTCACAGAAGGAATGCTCACAGGAGGTTCTCAGACAGTAAAAACAGCCTCTACTTGCAGGGTGTAAGAATTAATAAGGATGTATATTAATAATATATCAACACATAGTTATTAATAATACATATTAATTAATAATATATATTCTTCTTATGTGTTTATATATTTTATAGTATGCTCAGCCGCTCAGTTATGTCAGACTCTTTGAGACTCCGTGGACTGCAGCCCACCAGGCTCCTCTGTCCATGGAATTTTCCATGCAAGAATACTGGAGTGAGATGCCATAAATATATCTTTATATTTATTTAGACTATATATTCTATAGTTATAGATCTATATATAGCACTATGTCTAGTGAATATGCAGTAGGTGTGCAACAAGCAATCAAAGCTCATTAATAAGTCAGGGGTCAAAAGGACACGGGCCTGGCACCCTGGTGGGGCAGGAGGACTGCCCTCCAGCTTTGCCCAGGTGGCAGGACTTCTGCTGAGAACATAACTGAGATCCTGGGTTTCCTGGAGCTGAGCCAGGTAACTATGCACCCTAATGATTCCAGCCCTTCTCAGGGACCTTCCTCCAAAGGCAAGAGAGGCTTTAAAAATGCATGGGTCTCTGCTGGGCCACGCTTCCTGTTTGGAAGTCTCTTCAGTCCAGCACTTCAAAGAGAAGCTGCATCTGTCACGGGCTCCCAGCCCAGGCAGGGCCTTGCATCTCAGACTGAGAGAGGATGAGCCAGGTGTAGGGTACAGCAGGCTGCTGATACCTCTCAGACCTCAGCACAGCCCCCAGCAAGGCCATCGGGGGGGTTCCAGCAGCTTCGCAAGCCATCAGGAAGCCGGGTCTCCCCGTGGCTGTGTGAGTCACCCCTCGGGGAGGGCTGGGGCACTTCACAGAGCCAGAGTGCTTCAGAAGCCTCCCTCTGCCCGGTGGAGAGAACAGTACCCTTTTCTCTGGGCCAGGAAAGGACCAAACCAGCCACATCTTCAAAGAAAGCAGAGGC